GTAACGTCTGTCAGCATCCTGCACCGGCACTGCGTGACTGTCAGCACTGTGCGGTGCGCGTCTGCTCCAGCTGCTGGGATTCCCATTATGTTAAGGTGAGGCCATTTGCTTCTAACTTCCCTTCCTCTATCTCCTTCTCTCCGCACGTGATCTTGTTTCTTTGCACAGACCGATTTCTAGCTTTTTATTATACTGAGATAGCCAAGTGGATATTTGTTATCCGTGTATTGCTGGCTGTGCTATTTGAATGTCTGGCCGATTTCATCAAGGTGAATAAAAAAGGAAAACTGACGCATTTGGTGATCATTTTAGGCACTTGCCGACTCCTACACTGAGCAGATGTATTGTTTCGGAAAGCCATAAATCATGCCATGGAATGCTTTATCAGTTGAGCAGTTTTTTATCCTTCACCTTTCAGGTAGTCACTTCCGTGACCGAATCAATACGTGTATTGCTGGAAAAGAAAAAAGACTTGGAGGAGGTACGCAATTTACTGAAGGCAAGATCCCATGGTGAGGCGTCTCACCTGAGGAAGTTCATTGAGCAGGCGACGTTGGTGCTTAGAAATGCCTGCAACAAGTCGTTAAACCTCAGTACTGCGAATTTAAACAACCTTTTCGCCGAGCATCGGGCCAGATTGAATGCCTCCAAAGGGGCCGTTTGCAACATAAGAGAGCTTATAAAGAAATATGCTGGGCGAAAACAGTTAATCCCTCTGATGGTAACTATAAATCCTAATTACCGGTGCTTGATGCCTTCTTTCAGACATTAGATACTCTGTTGGATATGAGGGATGCGCTAGAAGGTGTAAGTAGTATTGCGAAACGTACCTCTGAAGGGTTGGATGCATGCACGAAGAGACCGAATTTACGTGTTGATCGCTCTGTACGTGTCCACTTTACAGTAATTTGCTTTAATGCTTCTTTCTTTTGTCTGTACAGTTTAAATATGTTTTGACAAGTGTTATCTCTCTAACGTTTTTAGTTAACTGGGGCGCTTGACACCTTATCACTGATTGATGTGGCACATCAGGCAGAGAGCAAGCATCGACGCAGGTAATGTTGATGCATTTCATTTTCTCTTTTATTTGAGTTACCTCTTCGGTACTACTTGATTAATTCTGCCAGGCGTATGAGTGAGTCATCCAAAGTGGCCTCACTTGTTTGAGCTGTATTTTAGCTGTCAAGGTGACAGAATCACGTGCAACGCTTCCAAGCCTAGACAGATCTTTGTCAGTGGTATCTCGTCGTGGACAGGTTCTGCCCGGCGTGTCAATTTTTCCATAGAACATTGAGGTGCCACAGATGCGTGGAATGTGACGCGTTTTTTAAGGTGATAGGGAGTGGCTTTACTGTTAAAAATCCACATTCGAGGTATACATTCCACTACTTGCACAGCTCCATCACCTCCTATAACCTCAATAACCACTGGGATAATAAATCCTTGACGCTCTCTCCCTGAGGGAAACCCGATGCTGCTTTAGGAACGTGTAAAATTTGTAGATTAGACACTGTTTCCATCTGGTTTGTTGCAAGTGGAGTCATTTTGGAGGGTCCTAGAAATCCCCACTAATGTAGATGACACTTAGCTACCCAAACGCATAAGTGTTGGCGTTCTGATAGGCTGGAACAGCAGAGACGTGGGCAGAACACTGTAGTAGCAGACGCTGCTTCGATTGCTTATGTGTGAAG